TATACAAAAATTATAAAAAAATTATAAAAAAACTTATCCCTATGTCGCTTCATTATGAAAATGTAATCTTTGGCACTATTAATTCAAAAATTTCCTACCCAGTTATTGATGCCATTTGGCATGAGAAGTAACAGAAATTCAATTTAAACTCACATGGAGCAAATCCTGATTTTTCTGGAAAGTATAATACCCTCATAATCTCAATTCCATCCAATCACCGAAAAATCCGATTCAAGCAATCCCACCGAGAAACACAAGCCCCTGCCGGAAAAGAGCCGTTGCCGCCATCGGCCACCCTTAGCCACCATTGACAAAACAATTCCCAATTCCTCCCGAAGCCAACCAAACCCCTTCCTCCTCACCCATCGTTGACAGGGCAAGATAGCCATGCCGCCTCGCAGTCCAAAGCAAAATTGATTGGTAAGCTAAGATACATCACTCTTTTTCCTTGACCCCCACCGCTTCCACCATCAGATCGAAATCTTCCTTGGCCAAAAACTCGGTCACCGCCATCATCATCCCTCTATGTATGTTCCCCTTCTCGCCACCAAGACTTGATGAATCTGCAGGAAAACTGCCTAAAGCAAACGAAACCCCAAAATCCTCTTCACACAAAAAACTTGCTATCAAGGAGAGGTTTGGGTGGCCTCATCGCCGTCGGTGAGAGGAGAGAGTGGAGAGGAAATTCATTTCAAAATTGAAATTCATAGGTTTGAAAGTGAAATTGAAATACACGGGTTTAAACCTTTGAAAATACTCGGTTGAAATGCATGTATTTTTTGTAAATTTAATCATATTTTATTTAAGTAAAAACAAACAATCATATTAAATTTCAACCTCCTAAATTCAAATACATTATTTCAAATTTACGTTACCAAACAGACCATTAAAGAATTCTCTTTGGGCTTTGTTTTTCCAGTTTGGGTTTCTAAACTAGGCCTGTGGGCTGTGATGATTGGTTGGGTTGGACCCATCAAGGTACATCAAAGACGGGCTCAATCCAGAACTTGATAGAATCAGCATTCATTGACTCCACATTTTTCCAAGTCAAAACCCAAAGGTCCACCCAATAATATACATCCACGTCACCAATCTGCCACATGTCTTCTCCTCATTCGCTGAAATCATTTCAGCAAACGCATCTCCAAAACTCCGGTCGTCACCTACCTCTCCCATAAACAAAATTCACAACTTCCGTCCAAATTCTTCGCGTACGAATGTTGTTTTCTCCCCAGATCTGAGAAGTTTCAGGCAGCAGTTGTTCCAACGTGGCGTCGTCGGGGCCGCAAGGTTTGTCTAGAAGGAAAACTTCATCCTCAGCGTCGTCGGAATCGCCGTCGTCCCGTCCAGGTGTTAGTAGAGTAGTAATCAGAGAGTCCTCGGGAAAGGATTTCAGACCTCAGTATCCGTTCTGGTTACAGAACTGGTTCATAGGATTACTTCTCGTGATGGCCATGGGATTCTTAGCTCTCGCTGTTTTCCTTTTCCTCAACCTCGATGTCGATCACGGATCTCCTTCCGCTGCCTCCGCAACTTCCTCTCCCGGCGTCGAGGTAGCTTTAGAATTCATGTTGCAACTCTGATTATTAATTTTTGTTTTCAATTTTATGGCACCGAAACCGATCTAAACTGTTTTGGTTTCTCAATTTGAATACTTCAGATCACTTACGGGACGGTTCTTAAGCTGATGCATGAGAGAACGAAGTTTCGGCTTCATTCTCACGACGTGCCATATGGTTCTGGCAGCGGCCAACAATCCGTGACGAGCTTCCCCAATGTAGATGACTCCAACAGCTACTGGGTACTTTTTCTCTCTCCTCTACTGTGTTCCTCTCGATGGTTTGTATTTCTTAAAACACATAGGATTGTTACTGCTTGAGATGATGATTGTGCTCTGCGATTTAAAATAATATCTGGTGGATGTTGCCAATTGATTTGGTAGAAGAAGCTAAACCTGTATTCACATTTTTTGAGTTTTACAATTTGGTCTTTTTAAACAACAGTTAGGGTGTTTTGGTTCTTTGACTCTGAAGCTGGAAGTCTCTTGGTCGAGCCAGAAGTTTTTATGGCATTACATTTTTGCATTCAGATTCCCTTATGACGATGTCATAAGATTATATATATCCTTGGCACATACTGAATTGGAATATTGGATCTCTTTTCAGATTGTGAGGCCTCCACTGGGGCCATCTGCTAAACAAGGTGATACTATTAAAAGCGGGACAGTTATTAGGTTGCAGCACATGAGGACCAGAAAATGGCTGCACAGCCATTTGCATGCATCCCCAATATCAGGCAACCTAGAGGTGAGCTACTGTGTGTTTTGTTGTTGATAACTTATTTAAATTGCTAGACATGAATCTATTTCTATGTTGATTTTGTAAGGGCTCAGAGGGCCCTGCTTGTTTTCTAAGTCTGCTCTAGTTTTATCCTTGATGAATGTAGGACTGTAGTGTAGGTGCACTTGTCTTATTCTTTTCCATAAAGATAAGAAACATATTTGACATTTTGGTTCTTTGGGACATAACAAGAAGAAATAAAATGAAGATTATCATATATATATATATATATATATATATATTTTTGGTTTAGTTTTCTCCATAGTCCATTCATTTCTGGCATTACATGACTTAATGTCATACCTTACCCTTGGGGAAATGGTATGTAATTGATCTTTGCTTCTTTTTAGAAAAAGAGTTAATTATCTGGAGGATCCCCAAGAATCGTGTTTACGAACTGCTAATTGGTTCCTTGCAAATTATCCTTGTAGTTCTAACCTTCAGTAACCCTTTTATTAGACCTTTTATTAGATACCTGTGTATCTTATTTGGTAATGTGACACACATGGTGCTGGGTGTAGGTTAGTTGCTTTGGAGGAGAAACAGAATCAGATACTGGTGATTATTGGAGGTGAGACCTAAAGTGAAATTTTTGTAAGATCATGTTTATCTGTCTTCTGTTTTTTCAGTGTTTAATATTAATAAATCTCCTTTAGGCTCACCATCGAGGGGAGTGGGAAGACATGGAAGCAAGATCAAAAGATTCGTCTTCAGCATGTTGACACTGGTGGCTACCTCCACAGTCATGACAAGAAGTACGCCAGAATAGCTGGTGGACAGCAAGAGGTGAGCAGGGAACTTTAATGCCCTTCTGTTTTGTCCAAAGAAATATAGGTCTATTAAGCAGCCGTGTTAATTATTACATTGCCATTGCCGTTCCTACCTGGACCATGTCTACTGTCTGTTACAACTTTTGGTTAATTACTAGAGTAGGGATCAACTTTTGGTGTAACACTTACACTAGTGTAAGTTGATCCTAGCTCTAATTACTAAATATACATATATACTATACCTCACTTGTGTATGTTAATATATGAAAGCCATTTCTCTGTGCTTAGGTTTGTGGTGTCCGAGAAAAGCGTGCTGATAATGTATGGTTGGCAGCAGAAGGTGTTTATCTCCCAGTTACAGACAGCAAGTAGAAAATAGCCAATTATACAGGGCAGTTATTTAGAAAAGCAGGTGCATGAATATTGGATTTTTAGGTGGCTGGTCCCTGTTTCTATCATAGCTGTAGGCTTTTCTACTAATTGAAATATATTTCACAGAAGAATATTCAGTGCTAAATGATATGTAATGAATGTTTTGCACCTTTAGACATTACTTATCTTAGTCCATCCTTATATGGTTTCATTTTGTCATTGTTGTCCAGCAGGTTAATTTCCTGCTTATGCAAACCTAGGATGAGAAGGAAAAATAGACCATATAAGTTGAATGCGGGTATTGATGGTGTCATGTATTGTCTGTACTGTGATCGTATTCCCAATGGTATTATGTTCTCACATATGGATAAATCTTGAAATGGTTTCTTGAGAGGATGAAACCCGTTTCTAGATTCACTCATTAGGCACCTTATCTTATTAGTTGTTAGTTCTGATTCACCGTCATTCATTCATTGAAGCCGCTAAGGCCACTGTCGTCTTTGACATCAAGAATGGGAATCACATTCCTTTCTGCCTGTCTTCCTTTCTACTTTTTTTCATTTTTCTTTTTTCTTTTTCTTTTTTTTTTAACAGTAGGAAATTCTAGATTAGGTTAGTATCTATTTCTTGGGAGAATTGAATTTATGATCAACGTGCATTCCATTTGCTGCCCAATGGGCAGTGTAGCCACTACTAGGTCACATGGGGGATTGCTCTACTTTTTATATGATGATACTACATTGTGTTTTTGGCTTCTTGGTTGTGGATAAAAAGAGTAGAGAACTTATTTTTCTCATTTCCTGGAAGAAACACACCTGTTGAATGAGTTCAGATTAAATTAATCAGTCCTTTTTTGTTGGTAATGAGTTCTCACTTTGACCTGATATCACTTTTTGCCGAATATAATTTGTGAGTTCCCCTCTTGACCTCCATCATTGATCGACTGCTTGGTCTTCATGAGAAAAGAACTTTGATCTTTTTTCTCATTTTCATTTTCATTGCCGATGTTGAGATGAGGCTGTAACACGGCCCCAGCGGACGGTAGGTTTTTTCAGTAACTCAAAAATGTGTAAAGTCGGCCCGTCTATAATGGATTATTGGGCTGATAAAGTGGCCCACTACACAAACCCTAAGGGGGTGTTTGGTGGGGGGTTTTTAAAATTTTTTCCATTACAAGATTGTATTTTCATATATTAATACCATAACAAAAGAAAGGTTAAAATGATATTTTTAACTTTTATTTTTTTTGATACAATTCATAATTTCTAAATTTTTCTTCTCATACTTTTTAAAGGAAAAATGTCATTCCTCAACTTTCTTTATATGGGATTCCCTTAATAACTTTTTTATCAATTTTATTTGTACTAATTTTTACCAAATTTTAAAAAATTAACAACTTAAAAAAAAATTTATTACAAAATTTATTAACTTTTTATACAAAATATTTCTAGTTATCCTTTTTCAATAAAAATTTGTTTAATAAAGTTGGCAGTTTAGAGGACGCCTTTTGATGGACTTGAGCCCTCTGCTTTATCATTATGGCCCACAAACTGGACCTGCTGCCTGCAGGTTTTTCTCGAACCGACACTGACCATTTTGTCCCTCTCTGCAATACCTCCGTGCAAGCAATTAATCAAGAAATTATACAAAATGACAAAATCACGAAATTTTAAGATTTTTTTTTTTGTTAATTTTTTTTAATCTCCACTTATAAATACTTCACCCATATATATAATTTTAATTTGATAAAATTTTCTGACCTTGAGCAAAAGGCGCATGATATAAAGTAACATCTGACCTTCCTTCACTGTAAAGATCTAAGACTTGTAATTTTATGGAAATTCGGCAAATATAGAAGACCACATGTAATAAATATGAAATCATGAGTACCTCAGAATAGGTGAAAAAAGAGCGAGTTCTTCAACATAAATCATTGCTTGCAACCATTTGCATTCACTGTACAAAGAGTTGGTACCTCATTTAATAATGTCAGTTTATCCCCAGGATTTATGCCTACCAAACAATCCAGGCATTCAAAAATCCAAAAGGTTACAGCGTAACACTGTTCTCACCTAGTTTGTTCTCTCACATGCCACAAATTTCATCTTCTGCATGTCCCACTCTTCCTCTCTGTAGAGTTTAAACCACATCTCAATGTGTTGTCATTGACATCTCATGCCAACCCCTGTCCCAGTCACCGACTGTTAAAAAAATAAAAAATTGGAAAGACACAACTACACCCTCCATTTCAAAATAAAAAAATCTTGATATATAATTTGTAGTATAAATAAAAATTATTAGTTTTTCAGCCCAGATTTGGCAAACTTTGTCATTCATGGCTCTCATTCCTTTCCATGATTCATATCTCACTTTATTGGCTTGGATGGGGAAAAGAATTAGAAAGAAATTTTTGCAAGTAATCCTTATAAAATTTACATGGAATGTTGTTGTATATTATATTTGGATGGAGAGAAATCGAAGAATTTATGAGGAAACCTTCAAATCAGTTCAACTCATTATTGTTGAAATTTAAAGGGATATTCGTGATAAGAATCTGGGCTTTGCTAAGCCCCGTTATTCTCCCTTGTTCCCTAGCATAGTTAGTTGGTGGGGACTTGAAAATTTTGTGCAATGAAGCTTTCTTATGAAGATTTGTAGGATTTATTTCTTTTTGAAATAGAAGTTGTTTTTTGGTTGCTTGATTGTACATTGATAGTGTTATTAGATAAATAATATTCACATTTTATCCAAAAAGTAAAAATAAAAATAAAAAAATATTAGTTTAAGAGATAATTTTTAAAATTAAGAAGCACATACTTTATTTAATAATTTAAATTACACAAGTGCATTTTAATTTGTTGTCAAAATAATTTTTTTAAACAAATATAATTTTTGAGGAAGGGAAAAGGATTTGAACTCAATTTATGAAGTTGAGAGATACACTTTCAACTAAATGGTATATAAGACCAGATCTTGTTGTCAAAGTAATTGTTCCTTTTGAATTTGAATGAATTTATACCTATTCATTTTCAATTTCAACTCACAGGACAGGGGCATGAGTCGGAGAAGAAAAGAAAGATAAGGAGCTGCTAAATGGTACAGTTAGGGGCTGGTTGGTTGGTAAGTGACTTTT